TCAAAATGTATAATAAATTGTGTATTAATTTCGCAGCTTAATTATTTTTAGATCAATATTTCGTGGAGTCCAAAAATAACAGTTTTACCCATAAATTCAACCGAATTAAATTGATACAGATTGCCACACTCGCTTACTAAAATTGTTCGATATTTATTGACATTTTCAGCAAATGGCTTTTTGATTGCTGTCTTTACAAATAGCTACAAGTAAACTACATTTATTTTGATTGGTAAACGTCAAAAATAGATAAATTTAAATGTTCAAGAAACAAAAACAAATTTTTATTGTCGTTGTAGTTTACTTTTAGAATTGATTGCTACAAATAATGGAAATTTTACTATCTTTAGAATTTATTGCTCTACTTTATTTATGTATTGTTATTACGTTTATTTATTGCTAACACATTTCTAGTCAAAAACAAACTTTTAGGTAATCTCCACAAATTAGTTCTAACTTAATGGGAAAAATAACAGAAAATAAATTGCATTCGATAGGAAATTAAAACGAAAAGCTGAAGAAATCTTAAATGCGTCAGCATTTTGGTAATAAATTGCACTTGGCCAAGACTTCCTTCCATCGAAAATAGATTTATTTATAAATGTATCTAGATGGATGGACAGCCGGGCAGAACTTGCAGCTATTCCCACCTGCGTTCCACCTGATGGGTGTCCCATTAGGGCAACAAATTAGCTCTTGGCCAGTTCTGTTGGCCATTCCAGGGTTCCGGTTGGGTTATTTACGAGCAGGAGCTGCAATCCCCGAGCAGATCGAACAGCATTTGTGCATTTTGCTTTGCCATAAATCATAATGCCGGTGCATGTCCCCCACTTTAGTATCGCCATGGAATTATACACCGAGAACAAGTTACTATAAGATGTATAATAAAAAAGATAAGCAAACCAGTTACTTCTGTAGTAAAAAAAGTATTTCATTTCATTTCTAATAATATATTCTCATTGAAACACTGAAATAAATCATTTTTGATTTTTATATTATTAAAAGAATAAACCAATTTAGTTTATAATAAATATTTTTTTCTACAAATTTGATAAATATATTTTTTGTAAATATCTGTTACATTCAAAATATTTTTATTATACCTTAAATCTGTAACTGTAACTGATGCTAATAACATAACATTTTGAACACCGAGAAATATAAGTAAAGATTCATGTAACTTCGTATTTATCAATATGTAGAACGCAGAAAGCTGCCTTACTTTCAACTGGCGGCGAAGGCTTTTGCCTAATTGATTTACAACACTTTCCAACCTTACTCAATGCTCGAGTGACAAATGCAGGGCTCTGGCACTGGATTCTCTTATTATTATTACTATTATCTTTATCTGCCGACTTGCGGGAGATATTCTTAGAGGCTAACAACACAATGGAGCCGGAGTGGGTTGGAAAATGGGGTTGCCAGCGGGTTGGGGATGGCATATGGTGTATGGGGTATGGGGTATGGGGTATTGGGTTTGGGGATGGGGATGGGGCTCTTTGCTTGGGGACTTGCTCAATGCTCGATTGCGCGACAATCGCAATGGGACCATATATATGTGTTTCGCAGCTTATCATTCCCTGCATATACGTACTATATGTATATATATTATTGAGTGTGTGTGTGTGCTGACTCCCTGGGGTCGCATTGGAGCGTGAGCATTTTGCAAAAATAATTTATGGCAAACTGTTGATTGCTGACATGGGGCCCCCAGAGCAGCAGCAACAACATCGACAAAAAGGCACTAACTAAAAAAAAGACAATAACAGAATTATTAACAGATGTAGTAAAGTGGGAAGATAGGGATATGTACAAGAATATAAAAAGAAAATATGAAGTAGAAAACAGCTGCAAAATAATAGTAGCTACAAGAAGAAATTTAACATAAGCAATAATAAAGGCTCAATAGTAAAAGTAGGTGCAACTTTAGATAATTATAAGAACAACAACAATGGACCCAAACCAACAGTTTCAAAGGAAAAACACTTCAAACAAAGCAAAAACATCAACAATGAAAAACAACAACACCAACACTTGTAAATAACAGTATGGCCAAAACAACAGCAACAATAGTTGCCACAATAACAGCAGCAACATTGGAACCAACAACACTCGTAGACCTCTTTTGGCAGTAGCTTAGGCACTGAAAAAAATGATTAATAACAACTTCTAACATTTTAAAATATTGAAAGATAAAAGATGATGTGTTGAGATAAAATGGAAAGATGAAAATTACACTAATTGTTCTCTATAGTTATAGATATGATATATTAATCAACGCTAGACATTTTTTAAAATACAACTTTGATTTAATATTAAAGATATTTATTTTATATATTAAAGATATAAAATCAAATTAACTGATACATTTTGAAATTTACTATTAAAGGTAATCTCCAAATAGTGTAGGATAAATGATTTCTATCTAGTTTGAAAAGAGTGTTGAACTTTTTGCTAAATATGGTTTGCTAGTGTAACAATCAGATCCATCTATTGTTTAGTACGCGACTAGAATTTATCATTAGTTTAGTTGCTGTACATATGTATATGTGTGGAAGTTATGTTTGTATATGAGATTATATACTATATAGATTAACAATTGTAATCGCTGTTGTTGTAGCTGCTGTTGATTTTGCCAAGCGAAACGAAACGCAACGAGCAAAACAAAAAAGCAACGACAACCGACAACTTGGGTGTTGATGTGTTTTCGAAAACATTGCGTCATTTCCAGATGGCAAGCTTTAAGCCAATTTCGACCCCCTGCCAGACCAAAATGTACCCCCTTCCCACTCCCCCCCATCACTACGCCCCTGTGCAGTAAAAATACAGAGACCAAGTGGCAGACGATCGCGCGTTGTTGGATTCGTAGAAAAACTGAGCGAATTCTACGAACTGAACTTGGGGATGTCGACGCCTATATCGGAAGGCAAGTATCTGTGTGGATACTGACACGTATACTCGTATATATGTTTGTAGGTATGTATAGTATATCAGGGGTATGTGTGCCTGAACATGATTGATATTTGCTTGCCATGATTACTTGTAGTCGCAGCTCGTCAAAAGTTGTGATAAAACGACAAACACAACTCGAGATATTTATCGTGTCGTAAAGAAAAGTGACACAAATATTAAGGGTTGAACATTATTAGCTGTTTTTGTGAGGTAAAACCTTTTTTATTGTGTTATGTGGTATTACCAAAACATGAAATAATTTCAAAATTGTATTATAAATATTTAGATCTAGTTTAAAGGTAAAAGAAATATTTCAACCCATCTTGTCTCAGGAATTAAATACTTGATTGATGAGTTTTTTTTTCAGGATAAGTAAGGTTTTCTTTTTGTATCTTGTTCTGACTATTTTGTCTCTTACCTTGTATATTTAACATTGTTGCAATTTCCTAAGATGTTCAACTGGTCGAATGCTTTGCAATATCTATGCCACATCCGCAATAGGAACCTTTGGAATGAGCTATAATTGGATGAGCTGTGGATGAACGTAATCTGCATTTCCAGACAGTTGGGCGACTTCTTAAAGCTGCAGCAGAATGTTTTGCTTCGCTGGGGTAGATTATTTACCATTGAATGCATTTGCCTCGGGGAGGGCAAGTAAAAGATGATTAGCAACGACCTTAAATAACCTACTGATTCAATAGACACGTTGAAACTGTATCGTCTTTAGACTATTTGCTTTCGAAACTGATTCGAGAGCAAATATTTGCCCACTGTTCGAGTTTTTCTTTGATCAGCTAAAAGCAGAAGGTGGTTGCTTTTCTTTTAAAGGCGGAAACCTACGTCAATGCGGGATCAATGGGTTTAAGCACTGCCATTATATTGCTCCATTTATCACTTTTAACACCATGTAGTGTAAACAGATTGTTTGACTTATAAAGGAACTAATTTATCACTTATCGCAGCTCAATGGGAAAATGAATACAACACAAATACAAACGGAAACGTGAAGCTTTTCACAAATATCACAAAGTATATTTGTTCATCACAAATAAATATAAATATAATACTGAAAAGTATACATAATCCTAAGACGATTCGTCATTTACCTTGTATATTCTGTCATCTACTATTTATATTTAACATTTTAGCAGGATTTATATGTTGTTAAGTATGAATTAATAATTATTTGCTTAGTCGATGTGAAATTACACATCAAGTTGATTATTCAATCTGCGTCATCAGTTCCCTTAATCGATTTTATTAATGATTTAAATCTAACCTTAAAAAACCATTGCAGAAATTTGCTTTTTTAGGTAATCACAACAAATTTCGGATGTGTATTCCATTAAGAACTATCAATAATACTATGAATTTAAAGAAATTTCGGATATTATTATTTATGCAAGGCTATAAAACAGCGTGTAAACAAAATGCCCTAAAAAAGTAAAATCATCTTAGGGCAATTCATAAAAATTAATTCATTTTTGTATAATTTTGAATTGTTTATTTAGCAATTAATGTTTGCTTTGTTGCCCCTCCTTCAAATTGCCTAGTTCTTTGATACAGTTGAGAGCGTTTGTGATTTATGGCTGAGACCCTCGACGAGCATGTGAGTGTAAATGTGAATACGAGTATGAATATGGAATAATCACATCGAAGGCGAACAACAAGCTTCATTGTTCTGGGCGGTAGTTGCTCAATAGCTCTGACACTTGGTATAATTAGGAAATACTGGTTACACAATCGAACCCTTTTACATGTCCCACTTATAAAGGATTGTAGTCGTAATAATGCGCAGTTAGGTTTGAACATCTGAAGTTCCCTCATTACTTCCATTTATTACTAGTGTATTACCAAATATACAGACTGAATGACCGATAAGGTTTACCTTTGTATTAAATGTTTGATATTTTATATTTATCTTATAAGTCACTAAATAAAATTGAAAAGCAATTCAATATTTCATTACCATTTTTCTTTAAATAAAATTCAATTCAATAAAAACCATTTGAAACCATTTCCCTTGAGGGCAATAAAAGTCGTTTGTGTCATTTTCAAAATGAAATTCAACATTTCTGCATTTTTATTTGGAGCCCTTTGCTCGATTCAAATTAGTTATGCATAACAAAAATTAAGATTTGCACATTTCATGTTTCATTATTCTCTTTTCTCTTGTTTTTTATTATTTAGTCTATTTACAGAATTAAGTTTTTACATATGAATTCACATATGCGATAAAAAGTTAATTAAATTTACATGTTGTTACGGCTTCATTTATTTGCTTTACATGTAGACTTTTTGCAATCATTTAGCGTTTGTTTGCTGTTTCGCTTTTATGCATAAGATAACAAGGCTTAATTGACTAAAAAAATAAAGGCACCTGAGTTCAAAGTGTTATTGCCAAATGTAAATATAATAAAACGAAAATCAAAAATATAACGCTGGTGAAATCAAAAAACGATAATCGTAAAAATATATTTATTAACGTAGATATATATATATACATATACGCACATGTATATGGTTGTGTGTGTGTACATAAATATACACAGCTAACGTAAAGCATTTATAATTAATTCAATTTAATTAATGGTATGTTTGTTTCACCCCTACTACTTCAACTGCACTCCTTTAACTGACTGACTTCGGATATACTCACTGATATCGTTTATGTGTTTATAAATGTATATAGATAAAGTACTTATATGGTCTTTGTCCCTGAATGAAATGCTCATCATATCCCCCCCAACTACCACGTGTATTAAACCCCCCATTTCGTATTTATTTTTGTTTTTTGTTATAGAATTGTTGGCTCTGGTTTTGACCCATTGTTGCTTTGCTGACTAGTGCGTTGTCTCTCCCCCGGTAGTTTGCCTATATATCTTTTGGTGGATTTGTCTATCATCGCGAATCCTGACCCCTGGTATTTCCCTAGTTCTATTGCATATTGTACAGCTGCGGTGGCTCCTTGCTGGCCGGCATCCCGTGATCGTACTTTCCCAATTCGGCTTCGTAGAGCAGATTGTTGATCAGATGCTTCACCACTATCTTCGACTTGGGCGTCTTTAACTTGCGTATGGTTATGGCCACGTATTCCCCGAATACTCCATACTCGTCCACATGATTAGCACTCAGACCGCTGCCTCCCATCATCGTTTTGGGGGGCGTGGCACCACTGTTGCTGTTGGAGCTGCAATTGCTGGATGTTGCTGCTGGATCCAGCGATATGTTGCTGGTGTGGCTGGCGTTGTTGTTGCTGCTGTTGCTGCCGTTACTGTTGCCGTTGCCATTTGACGTTGAGAGATCACGATCACGATCACGTTTTTGTGCCATGTTACTGGAATGTTGTTGCTGTTGTTGCTGCAGATGCAACGTTTGTTGCTGCTGTTGATGTTGCTGTTGGTGGTGCTGATGGTGGTGTTGCGGTTGCCCGTTGCAGTGGCTCAGGCTGAGACTGTGATTGTGGTTGAAGCGCTGCTGGAGCGCCTGAAACGCGAGCTGGCTGTGGTTCATCTGCTGATGCTGCTGCTGCTGCTGCTGTTGGCCAGCGGAACCGCCCGCTCCCGCCGCTCCGCCCACCGCCTTGATGGGCGTCAATGTCAAAGCGCCCACAACGTGCTCCACGCCCATCGCCTTGCGCTTGCGGTGGTTGTACGTTAGATCCGTCGGCTTGTAGTAATTTATGGGCGACGGCGTGCTCGTCCGCCGATCCAGCATCCCCAGCTCCGATTCGTGTTCAATCTGGAGGGGATAATCAAAAAAGCAGGGGGATATACGGATGTGTTTTAGGCAGTGTTGAAAGGATTTGGTATTTCAAATTATTTATTATCCCAGGAAAATATAAAAAGACTGACGAAGTGTTTCCGAATGAAACAAAAAGAAATTCTAAAGTAAATATTTGTTTATACAACATGACTTGAAAAAAATGTAACTAAACTGTGTCACCTTTATGTAACACAAACACTCACTATTTTTATTAATTCCCACTTGGGAAAAACAAAAAATATTTTTAAATTGTCCGCAGGGAATACAGTAAGCTGTTTTCTTAAACAAGTAAAGCTGTTGAATATTTCATCATCCCTTTTTTATTATTTCGCTAAAGATGGGCCCGTCAAAAAAAACCGGAACCCTTTCTATATAATTAAACGACGTTTATACTACGAACGTCTGACGAAATCATCGCTGTGTTGTTTCATCAACTATTTACTAGACGCGCATCGCTTTGTTTACAAATAATATAAACAATAAAATCCATAGGTTTGCCAAGTGTCTGAAGGGCGAGAGAACTGAGACATGTGGGTACTTTGATAATCCCCCAGAGACGAGCAATTAAAATAATTTGCGGGCATAACCTTGTCTGGTAAAATATCAAAAGAAAGATCTTTCCAAATCATTCTAATTCGGGAACCGACAAAAATTTAAAATAGCACTTATCAGCCTATTTTGAAACCCAAAAATTGTATATAAATACCACTTTTTTAAATAATTTGGCAGCGCTTCGCTGTTGGTATTCAAATTTAAATTAACTTAATCGAAAGGTCCAAATGACTCACAGGTGCTTGACTCCTACAGCTTATCATTAGAGATATCCGGATGTATCATATCTGCCTTAGCAACACGAATGACCTTCAGAAATGAAAAGTTTTCGACGGTCAATGTGCAAGTTGTGGACGTCATAAATTGATAAGATTCGTCATCGAATTAAGTTAGTTACAGAATTCCTACACTATAGCCCTATCAAGCAAATAGTATTATCGGTCGGAAATCTAATCTTATTATTTGCAGTGAGCTTGTAATCACAAAAAAAAATATATTCTCTAATAACTGACCAACTTATTATGTCATAGGTGATTAATAAATATGCACGTGGGATAAAAAAGCAATTCAGTCAATGAATTATAAATAATTTAATAATAAGAAATTTTTTCTACTTTTTTGCCACAATAGCTTATTTAAAATATAAATGATTTATTACAATAATTTATTTTGGCACTCCAGATAATGATTGATATTTCAACTAATGCAAGATACATTATTCAAAAATGTTTTTGTTTCCCAAACCAGTGTCAAACATTATTCTTAATTACTCCCACAGGCCACTTGACTTGACACTTCAGGGGTTGAGATAAAAAAAATGTAAATTTATCCCCGCCAAAAAAATAATAACTTCAACCTGTCAAATCAATTAAAGTGCGATTAACAATCAACGGCAGGGTACTTACAATTTCTGTTTTCACATCTTCGGCGCTGATATTGCAGTAATTCTCGCCATCCAAATCGGAAGAGGAACGTGTCTGCGAAAGATCGAACAAAAAATCCAGAATTAGCGAAGACCGTAGAATCAACAACAAATACAATTATGGCAGTGTGGAGAATTTGCCAGGCAAATAATAACAAAAAAACAACAATATTATAATAATAGTGGACAGACGCAAAGCGAGAGACGCGAGAAATAGAAAACAAATTAGAATAATAATAAAAAGCAAACTCAGACAGAATAACACACAAACGCACACACACACACACACAAGATGCAGACTCGCAAGTCGGGCCGCTGGCGATTAAATTAGTCACGGCGGGACAAGGTGGACGAGGGGAGGGGGAACCGTGGGCGGGGGCAGAACGGGAGGGACAGCAGCCAAGTCAACACCGAAGTGGACCAACGGGTGGACAGACCCACAGACGGACGTGAGACAAGTGACCAAAAAAACAGACGAAAAATAACGCAAGAGATGGGAGACGTTATCGATCTTCGACGAGTAAATACCCTTTGTTAAGCTTTAAAAGTGACCGTTAACTTAAACTTAAATTAAACTTGCAAAAGGGCTTAACCTTATACTTTTCATTATTCCAAATTAAATAAAACTGTTAAAAGAATTTTAGGAAAAGAAAGGGATGGTTAAAAACTTTATCAGGAATACTTAAAGCATAAAAAAAATTTGTACTAAGCAAGTAAACTAAATTGAATTCGTAACAATTCTAGTCAAATAATATAAATTAAGGTGTCTTTTAAGAACATTGCAATGAACAAATCTATTAAAATTAAAATTACTTACACTATAGCATATACCATACACAACATTATTTTCACTTCGGTGGTCAAGGCTTGCTTATCAGACTTTGATTACTTCAATCATAATTTGCATTTGTTTTATTTATATTCTTTTTCTGTTTATATTTGTCAGTCAAAGATTAATTTATTTCCGGGAAGTCGATCGCATTAGTTACTAGGCATAATTGCAAGCACTTCTTCAAAGCTCTGGAGAAAGCTCGCTTTGCGGTTAAAGTTCCTCGATTTCTGGTCGAGCTTCTGCCCAAAAGTCTCGTACCTTTTTTTTGGGAGAGAATCAAATATAAAACCGAACGAGCGGACGAGGCGATATGGCAATAAAAAAAAAAACGCAGTCCAGCAACTTGCTATATTGGAGCTACTACGCTTGGGGGCGGCAGAGCATCGATGCGGGGCGGAGGGGCGTGGTCGGTGCAAAACGTGTGGCCGCCGATTTCTACGGCTGATGCAACACACATGTGTATGCATTATAGATATAGGTACGGCGGTGTGTATAGCAGAAGCGGCAGCGCAAATCAAAGCCAGTTGACACACACACTGGCACACTAACACCAATACTGGCTTATCAAGCGCAACGCAATAGCTGCTACCGCGCACAGTGGGTACACTCTATTAAGATAATGCTACTTTCAAAAAATTTTAGCACATATTAAAAAAAAAAATAAAATAATTCAAAGGGGCGTATGCGTAACTTGACTAAAAAAATTACTCATACGCCACGTGTGCAAAACTCAAAGCAATAAAAACTCAAAAGTTCCCTTTTAACTTTACATGAAATCATTAAGGAAAGCATATATGTACACATAATTTTATTAATTGTTTTTAATTGTTGACACAACAAAATATTTAAAGGACACAGAAAAAATATTACTCATACGTCACGTGGTCTTGTTTATTAAAAGTTTTTGTTAAAAGGGGATAAAATGCAAAATTGTATTTACTGATATTTGGAGTTAAATGTCGTTTATGTGTGAATGTCGTTTAAATGTCGTTTAAGTGATTTAATTAAAAATTGTGCAATTTCCAATTTTTATAGCCTACTTTTGTGCAAATTTTGGTGTAAAAATGCTTTTGAAAGGAAATCAAAATGAATTTATTTTCACATATTCTGTGTTTATGTGGTAAAAGAACTTCATTAACTTAAAAAGTTTTTCTGAATATTTTTAACAAAAATAATTTAAATGCTATTAGCCTAACAATAAAAACTTCTTTGAATGACAAAGTACAAACACTGTAAAAGTTTTAAAGGTCATATTAGCTTGACAAATAGTCAAAGTGTTTAAGAATGTGTTATGCCTAAAATAACCTAGAAATGTCTAGACCGTCGCCTAACTTTGGCCCCACTGTGCGCCACCGGTTGCGCCGCTGCCGTTGACGAACCGCTAGACAGCGACGGCGACGGCGGCGGGCGGCGACAGCAGCGCGTGTGCTGCCTGCTGCCTCAAAACAAGTCAAACCACTCGCACTCACACGCGCGCACATGCAAAGCTCCAAAGAAATATACAAAAAAAAACAAAGAAGGAGGGGAAAAAAGCCCAAGAGACACATGCAAAATAGGTAGAGGTTGCTTGGCTAAACTAAAAAAACAACAACAACAGCACTTACCACAGCCGCCGAGGAGGATTCGAGCATGGCAGTACCGCCCGTCGCTTCCTCCTCGAGTTCCAATTCCCGAGCGGTATCCATTTCGCCAGCGGTATCCACTTCCCGCTCGCGATCACGGGCATTCGCAGCCGCCGCAGCGGCAGCAACAGCGGCCACAGTTGCCGCAATCCGAGCGGCAATCTCATCGTGTTGCTGCTGCTGCTGTTGTTGCTGTTCCACCTGCAGTATGATGTCCCTATCCACCAGCTTGTCCGCTTTCAGCTGCTCCAGATCCAAGCTGTGCATCAGGGTTAGCTTTTCATCGGCTTCCGTTTCCGCTTCGACATCTTGATCTTGATCCTGAATCTGATCCTGATCTCGTTCGCCATCTAGAATGAATCGTATGGCCTCGTAGGCAAACCACATGGGCTGATAGATAACTCCCCGGTTCCTGCCACTCAGGACCTTGCCATGTTCCCGATGAAAGGAGCTGCGGAGGGATTTGATTTTCGATCTTATCGATCGTATTTCCGTACCATATTTGTGGCTCAAAAGTTTCAGGGCCTCGTATTTGGTTTGCTTGATGTGATAGCCCTTGGTGTTGGGATCCCAAAGGACTCGTTGCCGGCGATAGTCCTCGATGAAGTTCAGGATCGTCGAGCGGGACCATTCAACGCGATCAGCTGGCGTTGCTGTTGCGGCCGTTGCAGTGGGCGTGGATGTGGGCGAGAGGGGGAGTGGCAGCGCGGCAACATCGGCTATCAAAGCAATGGCATTGGAGTTGGCATCGAGCTTAAATTGCGCTGCGGCTGCGCTGCTTGACATTGTTGTTGTTGTTCGTTGTTGCTGGTGAAAGTTTTTCCCGGCCGCGGGAAGTGGGTGGCTGTTGGGTGGCGGTGGTGGGTGGTTGGGCGGTTGGTTGGTCGGTCGGTCGGTTGGTTGGTTGGTTGGTTGGTGATAGGAAAAGGAGTGAGAGAGAGAGAGAACGCAACGCAACGGGCAACGCGACGAAAAAAGCGTCCACAACACGTTGCTTTTGACTTTCGACTGGCGGCAGCAGCGGCGGCGGCGAGCGTTCAGCGTTTTTAGCGTTGTGTTGTATTTGTGGCAGCGGCAAGTGCGACGGCGGCAGCTCAGCTGCACTTTGTGCGAGAGGGAGAGAGGGACAGCGCGAAGGAGAGAGCGAGCGAGCGAGAGCTTCAGCTGGCGAGCGACGTCCAAAATCAACGCAAAGGTGTGCGACTCTCTCACACCCTCTCTCCACTGACCGTGTGTGTATGTGTGTGTGTGTGCTGCAGCAGGCGGGCTTTTTATTTTTTTTTTTTCGCGACCTGTTGTTGCCCGCTTGATAATGCCAGGCTTTGTTGTTGCTGCCGTCGCTATCAGCTGTTTTATTGCATGTTGTTGTTGTTGCCGCCCCAAACGTGCGACGTGTTGTTGTTGCCACTAGAGAGCCGCACACCAATATAAAAGCTACTGTTGTTGAATCAGTTGTTGTTCTTATTAATGTAGTTGTAGGCGTATATTGTTGATGTTTCTTGAAAAACACCAATTTTTGTTTTGTTGTAATTGACGTGTTTGTTATTGTTGGTGTAAGGGTTGTTGTTGAAGTTGTTGGTTTATATTTGAAAAATGTAACTGCTTATTTTGTTGAATTTAAAATTGTTAGGGTTTTTCTAGCTATTGGTGTAAGTGTTGGTGTATTATTAAGGAAGTTATCTTATTCAGTTGTAATTGTTTGTGTTGCTGTTGGCTTACTCGTTGGTGTAACAGTCGTTTTATGGTTGGTGTACTTTTTTGGACGTTTTTAATGTGTGCTCTCAGTGTTGCAGTTGTGGCATCATCTGTTTTTGCTGCTGCCTCGCTTTTTTCTTTGTGTCTTCTGATATTCCAGTTGATGTTATCACTTATTGCTGTTGCTATTACCGCCGTTGCTGGTGGAGGTGACTTGTTGCTGCTTTTCTAGCGTTTGTTATTGCTGTGTTGCTGCCACTGTTGTTGCCCGTGGCTTTTGCTGTTGTTGTTGTTGCTGCTGCTGCTGCTCGCTCGAGCTTTTTTTTTGTCGCCACTTCGTCGACGCTCGTTCGTCGCTCGTCGTTCGCTGTTGAAATCACGATTTGTACTAATTTCACATATTTAAACTGTGTGTGGCATGCGCGCTGTTCCAAACGGGCCGGTTGCCGTTGTTGTTGTTGTTCCTGCTGCTGCTGCTGTTGGCCGTAAGTTCGTCACTTGCTCTTCGCTCCCCCGCCCCCCTGGCTCGTACACCTTTTGCGTTCGCTTTGCTCGTGTCGCGACTTGCGATCGTTGCTGCTGCTGCGACTGCCTGCTGCTGCTGTCGTCAACAGCCCCACGTTGCACAGTGGGCCCGATCCGATCGCTCTGCGCATGTGGCAGCGGCTGCCAAACGGCGGCGACCATGAGATGCTGGAAACCAACGAGCGCACACACTAGCATCCGAGCATTAGCCTATTTTTAAATAGCGACACATGGCACAGTGTGGCAAATGTAGTTTCGTTGTTGCAAGTTGGATTGCAATGGGAAAAATAAATTTGATTTCTTTGGTTCAAGGAAAGCTACTGCACAAGTATTTTCTCTTAGCTTAACAAGAACGACTCTGTTTATAGAATTAAAAATTTTAAAATGTTCCACAAAGAATTTTTGACGGTAAGGTCAGTTAAGTAATCAATTTTAATAATGATAATATTTTAAGTTCAACTTGTGCTTTATTTTTAGTTTAATAAAAGTAACACGTTAGACATTTTGATAAAAGGAAAAATGTTTTTTTTTTTCCTTTTATTTTATTTTATTTTGTTTCTTATTTCTTTCTTTTTATGTCCTAGGGTTTTATTATAAACCTTTGCCCACTGTGCTTTTGGCCGCTAAAGCTGTAAATATTGTGGCTGCCTGGTCCGCTTACTCGCCCTCTTCCTCACTCTCTCGCACTTCTCTCATCAGCACGGCTGAGAAGTTGTTATCGTTGCCACTGTGGTTGTTATTATTGCTGCTGTTGGACAAAGCAAAAGTAATAACAACAACAAGCACGGCAGAAAGCTCAAAAACACGGTAACAAATTTAGCGACTCAGCAAAATAACAGAAAAAGAATTGAAAAAGGAATTGCATTTCACGGAGAATTTTGGACATTTTCGATTTTGTCTTTCTGATATTCTGTTTCATAATACCCTTTTGGAAGGGGTTTTCGGTAAATTCATAAATTTCGCAAAAAAATATTTTTGGGTATATTTTAAAGAAAGTAAGAGCTCGTATTTCTTAGGGAGCGAGATAACAAAATAATGATTCAGGAGTCTAAAGATTTAATAAGTTTGGCGTAATATACCAAATTAAATATAAAGGTTTAAAAATCTCTAGCTAACTCATGTATTGTAAATATATATATTTTACAGGCAAGCGTTAAGATATTTCACGTTCAATCTTCATAGATTTGTTTTTTAGTAATTGCTTTATTATTATTGTATCATTGTGTTTATAAATATTATATATATATTTCGATAAAATTATAGCATACATTTTGGCATACGTGTGCATAAAGGACTCGTATCCGCTTGAACGTTTTGTAACAAACAACTGCAATGTAAATAATACGATAGTGTATAAACCTTTTCGATCTGCGAATGATACTTTCCTTTCTGCCTGTTAATCGCAAGGTGTGAGCGAGGGGAGAGAGAGTGAGGGCAAGTATGGAGTGAGCTGTCGCTCACGTAGGCATCGTTTTGTTTTTGCATTCGCCTGCACTGTCTTCACTTTTCTCCTTCTCCCCCGCACAATGTATAAGTATGTATATGTATCTCCCTCACTCTTGGATTGCGTGTCCTAAACCACGTGCAAATCTTTTGTATAATTTCACCGAATTTCGATGTCTCATACGCACACTAGCACATATTGTAAACCACGTATAAACGTATGTATGCGTGTATATGTGCACACATAATTAGAGCAACTTAAGCTGACTTTTCTTATCAGTTTTGCATTTCGCCTTGCACAACCGCTCGCTCTTTTTCTCGCACAGCTGTTTTGCATTGCGGAAGCTTTCGAGTCTTCTTTTCCTTTCTGTCTGTCTTAACGGCTCATTATCAAGCTGAGTCGCTGCCGCAGTCGGCGTCACTGTCGCAGAGACGTGTTTGCCGCACCTACGATAACGGTAATAAGCTGACATTTCCATGCACCTCGCCGAAAAACCAGTTCTTCGCACCGCCATATACCCTACACCTCCTCTAATCATCCAAAAATCTAATTAATTTATGACATTTGAAAATAATAAAAAATCGATTACTGTCATATTTGCAATAAATTAGTCAGAAAAGCTATTACCATTTTACAAATATATGTACATATGTATGTACATACGTTAACAAGTTTTAACTCAGGCTTATAATTTTTAAACAAATCTTTTCTTTTTTTGGGCAAGACGACGTACAGTTAGCTCTAGTCCCAAAATAAGAGTGGTTATAAGTTATTTTGCGCGAATAAAACGATTGCGTCGAGCACAAAGTAGTGTGATTAATCGCCATTAAAAACCGCAAATAATAACTTGGCCTGCAGCGTGACTGTGGCACATTAGACCCCGTCCGAAATTGGCTCGGACTGCGTCAGGGCAAACGACTCGACGTCAGCGGTGTGGCGCAAAGCTTTTTGCATTCAATTCTCGCTTCAAGTTGACAAATTGACGTTCAAAGTTGTTTGCGCAGCATTTCAGTTGCAGTTTCGGTTGCATTGCCTGTTTTTCTTCTTTTCCAGCCCGTCTTCTTACCCGCTTTCCATCCGCTAACGTTCAGGTTCCTTATTACATTATGACTCTCGACGGTACGAGTATTCTCCCCATTTCGCTACCTTTAAGTGTGATTGTGCGATTGAATGGGAATGGACGATAAAGCATAACACTGCCACCCAAAAGTTGGAATCCTCAGCAAAAGGTAATTTCAAATTTATGTATACTTTCTAGTATAAACTTTTTGTGAAAATTAAAAGACAGCAAAAAGTAAATAAATGTTCATGCAATAAAATTATAGTTATTTTAACTTTTATTAATATTGTCAATAAAAGGTTGTGTTTTTTTTATGAAAAGACGTATAGTTTAATAAAAAACTCAAATGACTCTTAAGACTCACTTTATAACTCATCTCAAAGTAAACGTCCGATCACTTTTACGCAGCACTGTTCCGTTGACAAATATATAAATTGCAATTTCTGTTCCTGCTGCTGTTAGCATAGTTGTTGTTGCCAATTCAGTTTGTCATTGCCATCTAAAATGCATTGAGCTGTCACATTAGAGAAGCAACTCGATACGTCAGGCCCTAACCGCTCCCCCCAAACACCCTCTTTTAGCCACCGCCCCTTTATTTCCTTCCCCCTCCATTAGGGGAGCTCAGCATTTTACTTACAGTCAAACACTTTTTTTTATCAATCAACTTTGAAGGTGTTACTGCAGTGGATGTCGTTGATGTTGCTGCTGCAGTTGTTGCTACTGCAGCAACCGTTTGTCGTTGCGTGCACTTTGGTGGAAATTGCTGTTGACGTTGGCTATATGGAATACTTATAAGTAAAAATACATATTTTTATTCAATTTCCAACATCACGTCGGGACGTCGCCACTCCGCCATTGTCTTTTGTTATTTTTGCAATTGCCCTGGCACCGCCGCACCACCCCCTCTTTTCCAACCGCCCCGTTCGGTGTTTATCTGACGATGTTTTTGCCCCCCCTCCGCTTTTTTTCAATTATGCAGTACACAATGCTTTTCTTTCCTTTTTCCTTTTCTATTTCTTTTTTTTTTTTTTTGCTTTCTTGCAGCACCTCTCCCCCGGGGGCAACTGTTCAACTGTTTAGCCTGTCGGATTAGCCACGCAGCTGTCGCCGCGCTGGAAAAGCATTTCCCCATTTCCTCATGACAGAGCTCCTAGCCGCCTTTTGAAGGCAGCGAGTTTCCAAGTTAATGCATGTATGACATAGACTAACTGGCAAAAAGGTTTTTCATTTTTAAAAATTTATGATTGGAAGTAGAGAAAATAATAAACGGCTTTAGATAAATCTTGGAATATTGTTTCAAAGTTATTATACTGCTAAAATCTAATATGTATATTCCCTAAATCTAGGAATATTGTTTCAAAGTTATTATACCACTAAAATCTAATATATTCCCTAAAGTTAAAGAAGTATTGCATTTATATTATGTTATTATAATATTTAAGAAAATTTTTCTCCACATAAAACTTTACAATCTTTTCATCTTTACAGTTATTTCCACACTTGCAATAAGATCTAAAATTTATATGCAAAATTGGTAATGAAAATATTTTTTCCCCTGAGTGTAGCTGCTTGAGTTTTGCCACTGATGCGTATCTGATGGCAAGCCTGGCCAACCGATCCATTCCAGTTTGGAGCGAGCTGGCCAAGTTGCCCGTGTGCTAACGGGAAGTCGATGTTGAGTGAGCGGCCAAAGGAAGTGCATTTGAATGAATGCACATCTGATAAAACCTAATACCCATAGACAGTACGCCCCTCGCAGTCCACAACTCACTTGAGTGGTCAGCACTTGGGATCTGTTTAATTAACTTTTTGCTTAGCGCCGATTTGCGAAGGCTGCCAGTCAACGCCAACACAAAACAAGAGATTTGCGATTTCCATTTGCAACTTTGTTTGTGCATCGCCGATTGAATTACGTGCGCTTCAGAAGTGGCATAGCTCAGAATAAGTTACTTAAAATATATATTATTCTATTACAAACAGAAAGATTTCTAGTGACCCCTATTTGTTTTCCTTGGCAAACTTTGGGGTTATCTTTGTTTTCAATAAAATATCTGAGGGGCACTTGAATTAATTCGCATGAATTATACATACAAACTAGAGCTGAAAATGGCACAAGTAAGACAGTATTAAATTACATCATCCATGTAAACCCCGAACCCTAATTACGAAATCCTCCCAAGATCTAAGGGTCGTTGTTAGGTGAAATTCTTTTGCAGGAAGGTTTTCGAAAGGGTAGCATGTTGCAGATACTGGTCCTTCGTGCCTTGGCCGCTCCACTTGCTTTGGCGAAACTTTCGGGCATTCATTTAATTAGAATCCAAATCATTTGATAGGTACAAAGCCCTTAGTCATAGTAGCTCCTGTCCCCTAGGGACTATTCTATTGACATTGTTCGCAAAGTTTCGCTTCGGAAAAGGATGGCTTCGAGTTGTTTTGTTGGCAAAGTTTCACAATATTTTTCTGCTGAAAAGATGTTAAAGGGTTGCCCCCGGGTCGCGCGGGGTTTTCGGATGCTAAGTTATGGAATGGGTTGTATAAAACT